CAAAAAAAACAAAAATTTTTTCGGAGGGCCCAAATGCCCGAGTTTTATATAACGCTATGGAACTTTCCCGAGTTATCTCGGGTTTTAAAGATTGCAGCATTACTTCTTGCCGCCTGCGTATGGCTATGATTGGTCATCTATATTCAGCAAACCAAATCAACAACGCAGTTAAGGAGACAAATTCCCTGACTGTTTGACAATTTTCGACAAATTCCCTGACTTTTTGATAATTTTTGACAAATTCCCTGACTTTCCCTGACTTTTTCAAAAAATAATGAAAATCCCTGACTTTCCCTGATTTTCCCTGACTTTCCAGGTGCGTAGGAACCCTGTCTTTACTCCTCTACTGTACATAATTTAAAGAATTTTTTGATATTTTTGATAAACTCTTATGTAAGACAACCTTTGTAAATATAAATCAAATACTATAATATAATATAATAGAAGGGTTAGAAGTACAAAATATTCTAATAATTTTAATTTTTGCTGTTGTTATTGTTCACCCAAGCAACACTGGGCTCTTCTGCTAGTTTACACCTATATCCATATTAACAATACTTAATACATTATTTAATATTAATGTAAATAAGCTTGTCCTATCTGCATTCTCCATTTTCAATTCATATAGTATGTTTTATATTTTGTTGGAATTGTCAATTGTTTGTTTTTTGTACTGTTAGGTGCAAGAGACACCCCTTACAATTTTTATCTTGCAAACATTTATTTCTTGATTTAACCCTGTTGCAATAACATTAGTGCAACAGACATTAAGGACATATGGTGCTGAACAAGCACTGTACATCCTTAATGTCCTTAATCTCTGTTGCCTGAACAATAAAGAAAAAGTGTAACATTAGAAAGAAAATTGAACATTTTAAAGAGGTTTGATGATAGACAATAAGGTATAGATATTGGAAAAGCTCTTGGTCTACCACCAGTAACTGTACAAATTACAGTAATGCTGAAAAGATTAAAGCTTTGCTCAAAGTGTAATACCTTTAGCTTCTATACAATAAACTATGAACAGAAACAGCATAATGAAAAATTTGAAAGACTTAACTATCTAGATGGAGACATGCATCAGCAAAACTCTCCTTGTCTGTTAATATTATAAAGTAAATATCTATGTAATTATTGTTTCTATACAAATTCATAAAACAGATATTTAGAATGTTGGACAAAATGACTTACCCACTTTACTGACAGTTTCATTCTCCACAATAAAGCCCCATCCCAGATCAGCCACAGCCAATATTGGCATGACCCTGCGGTTGTTGCGATAGTGAAAAATTTCTGGAATTTCTTCTTTCTGGTAAATAGTATATTTATGACTTCTTGAACCATTCCTTAACTTCTCTAGCACATACTGATTATGACCTATATTACAGATTAATAAAATAAGTTAACTGCATTTTTATAATAAAAAATAAATTTTTTAAATATGATAAACCTACATATTTATGATCCATGAATGTAAGAACAATCACAAAGAGAACTGTTGTAAATCAAACTATGATTCCCATAGGTTATGTGTTTTAAATTGAGATTATATTCCCAGAAATACAATTCTAACTATATAATATGTGAGAATCCAAAATATTTGTCTGCTATATAATTTGTTTTTGACTTTAAAATTTTATTAACCAAATCAAAACTCTAAAAGGAATTCTGCTAGGAACATCAGTCATCAGAAAGAACAAAATGTCTGTTCAAGACAACTGATCAAAATTATGATGATATATGCCAATGACACACACCATTTATAAGCATCAAAAAGAAAAATCACCAATGGAATAGGAAAAAACCTCTTCTAAAATTTGGGATATTCTAGAATGTGACCATGGGACAATATTTCCTAATAAAAGAAGAGAGCAATGATGCAACAGTGCAAGTAGGACCAAGAATAGGGTCGACACAAGATTTAAAGGACCTATTGTTGACAACTCATCACATGCCAGTTGTCAAACTGGGTCCTTAGTCACCATCCATCTTCCTTCTAATCATCACTTTGCTGTTAGACAGGAAGGCTCAGATAATTCACCTTTAGACCTCCAACTATTGTAATAACATTTCCTAACCAGGTATTATGTAAACTCAAAATATTTCTTAATACTGCTTATTTACAAACTAAAACTTAAAAATATTTTTATTTGGAATCAGTTTTCATTCTCATTAAGCCTACTTAAATACTGTACATTATAACTTTTAGAACATTGAGTTGAACAGAGCTAAGCTAAAAGGAACAAACTTTTGAATTTAAAAACAAACATGTACAGTACCATACACTGTAAGAACATTAACCTGAACACAAGATACTTGAGAATGCATGCAATTAAGTCATGTGCTAATAGCATACTGTGCAGTCTATATAGTCTAGAATGTGCTAGGATTTTCTAGGTTCCTAACTAGAGAATCCTTCTAACAATCCTCTATAACTTCTCTCCTTAACTTTTCTAGCATATACTGATTATGACCTATATTACAGATTAATAAAATAAGTTAACTGCATTTTTATAATAAAAAATACATTTTTTAAATATCATACTCCTACATATTTATGGCCCATGAATGTAAGAACAATCACAAAGACAACTGTTGTAAATCAAACTATATGCTTGACATATCTCAAAATATTCCAATCCCATGATCACACACCTAATGAACAAGCAAAATATTAAAAGCAGACTACGTGAGCCACAAGTCATAAAAGTTTGGGAAGCACTGTCTTATTGAATTTAATCATACATAAGAACAACATTTTTAATATACAGCTAATATGTATGTACAGTACAGTACAATAGTTTTATGAATAAGTATGTGTGTTATTGACTATAGTTATATTTAAATATGAATGATTTGTTTCAAATTGAAGTTAAATGATAACAGGTTATAGAAACAAATTTTCTAAAACATGTTAAAGTTTCTTTTATCAATTATAGTATAAGGAAAATACAATAGTTATTCACTTACAGGCTTGTCTCAGATAATGCAGAACCTTGGGTAATCAGGATTCTACTTTATTTATTTATTAATACAGGCAATATTGGTAAGACAATAATAGCCACCCCATTACAACAAACAATTAACAAACCCGTACTGTATGAAATCCACAAATAATATAAAACACCAAATAAAAACTTAAATACATATATAAACATTGTTTAACAGTTAAACTTTAACCCAATCTTTTAATATTAATGCCAAAATATAACTGGAAATGCTTTCGCACAGTTAGTGAAAGTTGCAGGTTTGAGTCTCATGTTAGGCTGATTCTTTTTGTCCAAAACCTTCTAAATTAATTATTAAAATATTAATTTAGTTATAATTATTAAATTTATCATGAGATGATGCTTAACACCTGCCTCTAAACCAAATTACTTAAAATTTAATTACTAATAGTGCCATTAATATAGCCTGATGTAATCCAGTAATCTATTATATAAATGTCTACTAGGACATATTGTGGTGAAACAGGTGAACAATAAAGATTGTTTTTTTTCTGAATAAGTTTCCTCAATTTGCAGAACCCAGTACAGTAAGTCCTAATAATATATGATACGTCCTAGTAGACATTCATATAATAAATTGTATAAGGACACAAAGGCATATGAATTAAACCAGCAATCATTTGGTGTTAATATAAAAACTTAAAATTAACTATTTAACATGTTAAATCATGCTTACATTTGTGTGTTTGAAATCAATAAATATTTTTTACTACATTTTTCCAGATTTTAGTAGCAAAATTTTTACCATGAAAACTTTTTATCAATTTGTTCTGTTATAAAATTCTGTATTGTTGAAAAAACATCACTTCATTTGCTTTACATGTTAGGTCATGTGTCAAACTATGTTTAGTTCTGCCTGCACAATGTCATGCCATTCTATCATATCATTATTATATAATCTTTTTCTATTAATTCTTTGCTTGATGATGAACTTGTATTTTTATTGAAAGTACTTGAATAAATATAAAACACAAACAGTAAAATTAAATTTACAATAGTATTAATACTAAAAGATTTTAATTATTTCTTCCTTGCAATTTCTTCTGTGAACCAAATATCCAGCTGCTTCGACTTGATCAATCTCACAAGTTTCTCTATTCTCCTTTCTACTAATTTATAATCATTTTGGCCAGTAAAAATAAGAATATATAGTAAACAATGCATCACTTGAGGTTTCCATACATGGCATTTTTTTTTTGTTCCTTTATTGATAAGTTGGACCAAGTATACTTTACTTTTCTGTAATTTATTTATTTATTTACAAGTGGAAAAGTCTGAAGACAATTGATTTCCACCCACAGATAATAAACCCCAATAATAAAAGGTAACCGGATATATTTATAAAATTTGATGATAAAAGTCATCAAATTAAACTTGCCAGGTTTTTACATAGAAAATATATCAAACTGATTATCATCATTTTTTGTCAATTCATCAATACATTACAAATTTATATTTGTGACAATTAATGCCATTAAAAAACAGTCATTTATTTTTTCTGTTTAGATTTAGCAACAAAATTTTATTTTATTTTAATATTGAAAAAATTTTAGTATTTTGTCAAAGAAAAAACTTTTAAATTTAGAAATGATTTTGTTTCTTCCATATTTAGTTTTTCCAACTCTTAACAGTTAATTTGGTACAGAAACTGCAACAATAATTTTCTAAATCTTGTTTGCAAATCAGTTAAATAATATTTTTAAAAAATAAACTGAATTTAAAACAAAATATCTATATTAAATACTACCTTTTTCTGGCAGAATGTTCCAAACTGGGGAATTTCCAAATTTCTTATAAAGAGCTGAATCTATTATTTTGTCCATATTAATTTGATGTTCTGCTGTCACCTGTGACATGCCATGATCACTTAAAATAATTAGATTTGTTTTTTTAAATAAGTTATATTCTTCTAATTTTTTTATTAAATATCCTGTTATATTGTCTGCCTTGATAATTTCCTTTATTACTTCTTTTGAGTCGGGACCATACTGGTGACCTGTTGCATCCGGTTCTTCAAAATATAAAAAGAGGCAATTTGCTGGACTAGATTCATTCATTAACCACGACAGTGCAATATCAACTCTTTCTTTCCAAGGTATCGTGTAATTATATTGTAAATTGTAATGTGCCGACTGATTACGAATTTTCACGTGCGCTCCGGGCCACATCATGGATCCACTGTGCCGGCGAGAACTTGCTAACTGGTTGGCTATCTGGAAAAATTGCCAATGTTTTCAAAATTATTTATTCAATTACATTTGAAATTTTTATTAATGTATATATAGAAATAATCAACTTTATATATTTGTTTTCTAAAAGTGTAGTAAACATTTTTATCTATTTTTTGTTTGTTTTGTTAGTTACGGCAATGCAACACTTAGACGATCTGTCTAGGGCAGCGATTCCCAACCTGTGGTACGCGTACCCCTAGGGGTACGCGATAGGTTTTTTAGGGGTACAGAAAATAGTTAGTTATTATGGCAGAAAAAATAATATATTATGTATCACAAACTAATAGTATTAAAAAATTATTAGATAAAAAATGTTCCTTGCAACAATCACAACTTTATTATACATTTTTTCTTTTAGGTTTTTTTTCTTTAATTTAAAGTTACAATATGTAAAATTAACAATACGGTTACTCACTAAATTTCTTAAATGAGGGGTACAATCTAGAGATATGACATGTCACGAGGTACGCTAATGAAAAAAGGTTGGGAACCACTGGTCTAGGGGAAGCCATCCAAGAAGTCTTTTGAGAGTAACTGGCCACTATTTAGGCATTAAAGATGTGGAGAAAACCCAGAATACTCCAAATGGCCAGCCATGGAGAGGCACGAACCCACGACTGAACTACCAGCGTACAGTAAATGGAACCACTTGGCCACTGGTGGAACTAGCTATATTTCAGTTTTTTTCTGACCCACTTCTCATTGTTGATGTGTAATTTATATATATATATATATATATGTAAATTCAATTAATACATTATAACATTAAAAAATCTGCTTTATTAGTTTTTTCTAGGTTTTATTTTTCATTTGTTTCAATGTTCACTGTAAATCCAACCAGATATCAAAATGATATAAAAGGAAGCAAACCAAATCAAGTGTATCTAACGTGAATTAATAACAGACACGATTATCTTCATTCTACTCTCATTCCACGTAAATCACTTCATTTGTTATTGATAATATGTACTTTTTATGTAACTAAGTTTCGATACATTAATAACAAAGATCAGGAGTGGGCAACCCACGGTCCGCATTAATATTTAAAAAATATATCAATTTCCCAATTTAAGAAAGTAGCAGCAAAAATTCTATCATTATTTTTTACAACTTAGTAAAAACGTAATAAAAAGTAAACAAGAAACAGGCTAACAGACTGATGTCAAAACTAATTTAAAACTATGTTGTTTTCGAAACCGTAATTTAAAACTAGCAGCGACTAATATTCAACAAAATATTTTGAATATATTAAGTTTGCATCGGTGACAGACGTCAAATTAAGTACACTTATGTTAATTTATGATCATATATGAATAAATAATTGCAATTCACCCTCATTTTTTTTCTTGTCTGTGGCCCACGCCAGTTCAAGTTTTAAACGTGGCCCTTACATAGAAAAACGTCGTCCATCCCCGACAAAGACGGCAAGAAACGAGTCCAGAAAATAATCACGTACCGACCTTCCACAGAACATCCGGACATAGTCGCAAATGCAAAGGTTAAGAATCACTAATTTTATAGGAATGCAGCAACTAAATGGCAGCTTTAGAAATTTTTTGCTATCGAGACAAGCTATGGTGTTCAATGATAAACAGCATAAAATTTTCCAAATAATAAAAATACTTTTTTACTTTGGATTATTGGATATATCTTACCCAAACAGGCAATACGTGTCCATTATCCCACCATTTCGGGTCCGAATTATTAAGATGGAAAGTTTCATTAAAAACCGGATCGAACATCTCGTTACCGACAATACCGTGAGATTCTTCGTACAATCCCGTTGCTATAGTGAAATGATTGGGGAAAGTTTTCGTGATAAATGCATTTTTCATCCATTTTCCCTGTACACCTTCTTCTATTAACCTATGGAAATTGGGTGTAGGAGCTTTGGTCAGGTAATCATGGCGAAACCCATCGAAAGATACGACAATTAATAACGGAATGTCTAAAGTCGCTTTGCAAACGATAAGCTCTAGTAAGAACCAACAACATACACAAACGAAATTCATGTCTTCCACATTCTACACGTGCACACGGCGACACCGCTATATAATCAATCACAAAAACGCAACTTTAATTAGCAATTATTAAAATAACTATCTATTAATATTATATCTCAAATTCCAAAAATTAAAGTTATAAATTAAGCATTATCCTGTTTAAAATGAAATTAATATCATTTAAATAGTATAGACGTTAAGATAACGTAGAGGTCGCGTTTTCAAAATGTCTGCTTCCGTCACGTAAACAACATCAGCGTGGTAAACATTTATACGAAAAAAGTTAAAATTAATCTTGTGATATTGATCCAGAAATCGAATTACTAATTTTGTTTTAGAATCTAATCTAATGGAATGGAAACCGTTATTCACGTGATCGTCTTATTTTGGGTGATTAGCCTGTACTTGTTCGGTTTATGGATATTCAGTGACGGATTTCTTCTCAAGAGAAACGAATTAGAATTAAAAAGTACATTTAATGACTCTTCGTTTAACGAAGCGACCATCGCCATCGGTTCTGAAAGTAATAAGTTTCCGGTCATATTCAATCGTTCTATCATCGTAATAGTCGATGCCTTGCGATACGACTTCGTTCGATGGTCTAAGGGCGAAAATTATTATAAAAATAAATTTACGATATTAGACGAACTTCGGCACAATGGTTCTGGCATGTTGTTTAAGTTTCGGGCTCATCCTCCTACTACAACTATGCAGAGATTGAAGGGATTGACTACTGGAGGTCTTCCCACTTTTATCGATATAAGTGCAAATTTTGCAAGTTCGGAAATTAACGAAGATAACATAATACATCAATTGGTTAATAATGGTAAGAAAATTGTCTTTATGGGAGATGATACGTGGGAAAGTTTATATCCTGGAAAATTCCTAAGATCCTATGCATTTCCTTCTTTTAATGTAAAGGTGAGTCGAGAAATGTTTATACCTCGTTACTATGATATTCTGATTTGAAAACTAGCTAAATACGCAAATTATACAATAAGTCTATGATAATAGCTGTTTAAACTGTACTTGTCCAATGATTAAAATTTAGCACGGATGAGAAAAGATTGGGTATAATTCTTTCCAGTAAAAAACTGTTTCAAATATACTAATTTAATTATTTTTTTTAATTTGAAAATTAATTAATAATATTCAATTAATAATTTATCCGGAAATCTGTAAAAATTTACTATAAAATAATTATGTGATAGATAACTCAAAATCAACTGTGTAGTTTCTGTATGAATAATCATTGCCACTTTGAGGGCATTAAGAAGGATTTTTTAATATACTTATTACAATTTCAGCAAGCCCACATAGAAATTGCTTATTGATGATTTACTAATTCTGATATATTTAGGCCAGAACATGCACAAAAAATTATTCTGGGTTTAACCCAAACTTGCATCCTGATTTTTTAGGGTGGCAGAAAGTTGTCTTTACTGCCTTGGCTGTTTGCCTATCGACCGTGTGTCTAGTTATTTATGTTTTCGTACTTTGTCGGTAACGACAAAAGATAATTTCTAGTTCTTGATAAAAATCTGTAATATAATCATGTATGCTAATTTTGTGGGTGACCCTTATTGCTAGTAATACACGATATTTAATATAGAATTATCGAAAGAAAGTAACGAACAAAATCTTTCGACATCAAATCCTCGCTACGTTTGACTATTAAATCTTTAGTGTTATTGTACTCTGAATGTATGTATAAAAGTGTATGTTGTGACGCAAGCACGTTGTCATAAACTAAGCTATATCGAGATATAATGTATACTTTTTTCGGTCTGAAAGATAATATCATTTGCCTTGTTCTTGCTGTTCAAAAAGAACCTGTGTGTTCTCAGTATATTGAAGATGTCTTTATATATTCAATATATAATATTCCATTATTGTTCAATATTGCTAGATATTGAAAGTACTACTTGTATATGAAAAATTTATGTCAGTAATTCATTCATTGAACAGATTTCTTTTAATGATTACAAATTTATGCTATTTTTCCCCCAAAAATGGCTTTACAAAATATAGAATATGAAATTGTATAACTATTTCAAAAGTCAACTCCTACTTATTGTTTTTTTGTTTTCTGTCCTTAATTTCATTAAATGTTTCTAATAACCTAACCAGTTATTTATATTTTAGGGCTTATCACACCAGTGAATATGAACAAAAAATTTCTTAAATTTATTTTATGTTTAAGTTTACAAAAGAATAAAGAAATTTTACAATAATTAAATCTAATATATATATATATAATACATATACATATACAATATGTCCAAAATGCATTTTGGACTCTGAAAAAGTCCCTCTTCAGTGGTGTCTCAATAAAGATAAATTAAAAATTCATAAAAGTTACATAAAATTTTAAATAACCATGAAGACATCACAACTAAAGAAGCTGTAATTATAGAAACTTGGTTATAGAAATTTATGAAAAAGATGGAATTTATTGTACAGCACTTGTGAGATAACATCAGTTTCTTTAGTTGTGGTGCCTTCGTGGTTATTTAAAATTTTATATAACTTTTATGAATTTTTATATTTGTTATCTTTATTGAAACACCAACTGAATAGGGACTTTATCAGAGTCCGAAATGCATTTTGAGCATATTGTATATGTATTAGATTTAATTATTATAAAATTTCTTTATTCTTTTGTAAACTTAAACATAAAATAAATGTAAGAAATTTTTTGTTTATATTCACTGGTGTGATAAGCCCTAAAATATAAATAACTGGCTAGGTTATTAGAAACATTTAATTCAACTCCTACTGTAAAATTCATTTCATTCTGACTCTTACTTGTTAGAAGCATTTCAGTAAACCCTGATTAATTACACTTTAATAATATAAAGAATGTCCTATCAAATTAAATTAAATGATAGTTTTATCTCCAAGTTGTAAACACAAAACCTTAATAAAAATATTTTTTTGAGTGTAGGAAAATATGTAACTTTTCTGTATACTATCAGAATTTATGTATTCATTATCATTCAAATCGTTATGTTTTACTCTTTCCAGGATCTGCACACAGTAGATAATGGAATCATTCAACATCTCTTACCAGAAATGGAGAAAACAGATTGGAATGTGATAATTTCACATTTTCTTGGAGTGGATCACTGTGGTCATAGATATGGTCCATCTCATCCAGAAATGTCCAATAAGCTTTATCAAATGGATACAGTTATCAGGTTATATATTATGTTAAATTTAATTAAAATACAAATTTTCAGATAGAAATTATTTCTCTTCAAGTACTTAAAAATTACACAAATATTTAGGATCATATATGGTATTTTACAAAATATTTATTTATGTCTGTATCAGATATGAAGATATTAACTAATGATAGAACATGCCATACTTTGTAATTAATTACGTATTAATGAATTTACAGGATGGACTGAAACCTATCAAGTTTATGCTATCAGTTTTTTTTATTTAAGTTTATTTGAATTCTTTATTAGAAACAAACAAAACATTTAAATAAAAAGGCTATTTAAAATCCTATTATGGAATGTAAATATTTTAATTTTAAAGTCTTCAATATAAAAATTTATTAGCTATAAGTTAATAGTTTGAAGTCTGAAATTTATGTTATCGGGCTGCAACGAAAAAATCATAGACCTGTAAATTTCCACTGTCTTTCCTTAATCTTGAGAATAGAGTTAGATAGATGAAATTTGAGACTAGTTATGGAAACCCTAGGGGCAGGGGGCCCTGATAAACTATATACAAACTTCTGATGCAAACTGGAAGTCATGTTATTTCATTTCAAAACTTTTTCCTCGAAAGCAGTTAATAGATGACCAGTACAACTCTATTCTTAAAGGAAAAGCATGATGTACAGGGGGCAAGCCACTACTGATTTGAGATGGAGAGCATATATTTTAAATTAAAGAAATTAAAATTGCATCCTGGCATTGTGACAATGTAACAATAAATAATTGCTCATTGTTTATAAAAATCTATTTTAATGTGGTATTGATCTTGGATGTATCCTTTTGTGTTTTCAAATGGTTCAAGCCTAGATTAAATTTTGAATTTTAAATATGAAAATTGAAATATATTAAGCATTTATATGGACAATATGATTGCATTAATCAATTGTAATGAAAGTTTTGTATTACTTCTTATAAGCAAGATATAAATGAACATTTCAACTACATTTTTTAACATGATTTGAGAGCAATGTACAGTAAATTATGCTTAAAGAATAATGAGGAAATAATTAATGTTTTCTCTTCTCACCGTAAAGTATACAATTATTATGATGCTCTTGATGAACTCACCAACACCAATTACCAGGTAATCATAATTAAAATATTCCTGTTCAATGCTGTCTAGAGAGATATTTTGCGATCCAAATGCAACCAAATCTGGTTTGGTGATATTTTAGGACACGGAATACATTTCTATAAAAAAAATTATTTCAAAACTGACCACTATGATGCTTTCTGCGCTGCAAGTGTGACAATGCCGAAGGGCCCCCATGCTTCGGCACCACAGGATCGAAGGGTCGACGTCGCGTCGATGAAGATCACAATGATAAATTTCCGTCAGGATTGGCATCACTGCATCTTTGCAGATAGACACGGAAACTGTTTCGTTCTCTCGTGTGGGCGGTCGCATACGTAGGTTAGATTCAGATGGGAGACAGAAGGAGAACTCCTGAAGAAATGCACTCCACAAGGTTATTCATTTAACAAATACCCATTTAATTATAAAGGTCATTTACAGGGTTAAGGCTTTTTACAGGATTACTTATCGTTAAACTATCACACAGCTCAAGAGAGAGAGTTTACGTGAGGTTCGCGTGGCGATAAATAACTGGAGTCTGATCTTGTTGAAGGATTCTCGTGGAGGTCAAGTTCAGGTGTTGATTAAAGTTCAGGTGTTAATCCAGGTTGGTTTCACTTCAGGCGCTAATCCAGATTTGGGTTAAGGATGGCAATGGAGAAACACACACATACACATACACACAAGAAGGTCCACGGCCGATGATGGGAAAAAGTGCTGATCATCAACACTCCTCCATTTTTATATGGGTTCTCTCCTGGGTTTTTCCCATTTATTCATTAGAAGCTTTAGTACATTGGGTCCAATCAACGATTTTCACCCGTTGAGTTCAAGTGACACAGTTGATGTGTCACTTCCAACAAGGAACTAAGTCCATGGGAAACAGTTTAATCGCTGATTTAATCAGTAATTTTTTTGAAAAATTATCTGGATTTGAACAACANTGAAATTATTCCAATTTAAATATAAACTTACTTTAATTTAATTAAATTAATTTATTTAAGCATACTGGTTTCACCCATGATGTGGGGAATACAAACATACAAATAATAATTCTAATAAATTTTCTTCTAATTTTGGCTCTCACACAAGCAAACAGTTTTATTGTACTAGACACTGGTGCTATACAAAGACTTTAGCAATGCAGGGAATATTGCTCAATTTGTTCCTCATTTTGAAGGTGTAAAATATGACAATGACAAAGATTGTGTTCAACGGCTGACCCTAATTGATTCTAAATGATTCCCACAAGCAATATGATACTGTCTTTTAAGGCTCCTAAACTTGCAACATGTTGTCGATAATTCACACTTGTGTTTTCACAATCAAAATTCACATAGATTAAGATTTGAGGAAAGAGGTGGCCAGGTGGTAGGAAATTCACCACTAATCATTCTATTATCAATGAAAGGTCACAGAAACAGCTGTACTCAGTGTCCTTTATGCATAATAATGTCCTGAAATGTTACCATATCTTTCTTTAATAAAAACTTTTTCCTACACGAAGTTATTATAGAATTTATAAGTTCAGAAAACTTCTTTGAAATCTGTTTCAATTACAATAGAAATATGATTTGTCTCGCAAACAGAAAGTTTAATTTTGGTAAGTTTTAAAATGTTTTGGCAATGCATTCCTGTTCTAAAATTCTTTATTTCCTGAACACGAGCGTGTTTGTGTTCTATCAATAAGGTAAATTTAAAAAAGAAGCAAAGACGAGAAGTGTAAATACTTCTGCATTTTTAAGGAAATGGAAAGCCCTTCTACGGTTTTCAGAGAGAGCTTTGTAGTTTAATTTATAAACAGAGTATAAATTAGAGTATGGCATTTGTCCCTCATTTCAGATCATATTCTTCCTGACTGTTATAATATATCGGGTGGGCAAGCAAGAGTTCAGTGGAAGCCGAAATGTAGGTTTTGCAAAATGCATGGGAGCCACAGTTCTGTACTTTTTTATTCTGTACCGCAGTTCTGTACTGCAATTTTATTATANTCCCACGGCCGATGATGGGAAAAAGTGTTGATCATCAACACTCCTCCATTTTTATATGGGTTCTCTCCTGGGTTTTTCCCATTTATTCATTAGAAGCTTTAGTACATTGGGTCCAATCAACGATTTTCACCCGTTGAGTTCAAGTGACACAGTTGATGTGTCACTTCCAACAAGGAACTAAGTCCATGGGAAACAGTTTAATCGCTGATTTAATCAGTAATTTTTTTGAAAAATTATCTGGATTTGAACAACAAAATATTATAATTTAAAATAATTTTTTCTAAAACCTTTTTTTTTCTAATAAATTTTCTTCTAATTTTGGCTCTCACACAAGCAAACAGTTTTATTGTACTAGACACTGGTGCTATACAAAGACTTTAGCAATGCAGGGAATATTGCTCAATTTGTTCCTCATTTTGAAGGTGTAAAATATGACAATGACAAAGATTGTGTTCAACGGCTGACCCTAATTGATTCTAAATGATTCCCACAAGCAATATGATACTGTCTTTTAAGGCTCCTAAACTTGCAACATGTTGTCGATAATTCACACTTGTGTTTTCACAATCAAAATTCACATAGATTAAGATTTGAGGAAAGAGGTGGCCAGGTGGTAGGAAATTCACCACTAATCATTCTATTATCAATGAAAGGTCACAGAAACAGCTGTACTCAGTGTCCTTTATGCATAATAATGTCCTGAAATGTTACCATATCTTTCTTTAATAAAAACTTTTTCCTACACGAAGTTATTATAGAATTTATAAGTTCAGAAAACTTCTTTGAAATCTGTTTCAATTACAATAGAAATATGATTTGTCTCGCAAACAGAAAGTTTAATTTTGGTAAGTTTTAAAATGTTTTGGCAATGCATTCCTGTTCTAAAATTCTTTATTTCCTGAACACGAGCGTGTTTGTGTTCTATCAATAAGGTAAATTTAAAAAAGAAGCAAAGACGAGAAGTGTAAATACTTCTGCATTTTTAAGGAAATGGAAAGCCCTTCTACGGTTTTCAGAGAGAGCTTTGTAGTTTAATTTATAAACAGAGTATAAATTAGAGTATGGCATTTGTCCCTCATTTCAGATCATATTCTTCCTGACTGTTATAATATATCGGGTGGGCAAGCAAGAGTTCAGTGGAAGCCGAAATGTAGGTTTTGCAAAATGCATGGGAGCCACAGTTCTGTACTTTTTTATTCTGTACCGCAGTTCTGTACTGCAATTTTATTATATAATATAAAACAAATATTGAATTTTTTTAATAAACATATTTTCACAGAATTGTGGAAATAAAATTGTAAAAATAATAATAAAACGCAGAAATTAACACTTTCAGCAAAAGCCGCATGTAACTCAAAAAGAGCCACATATGGCACTCGGAGCCGCATTTGCCCATGTCTGTAATATATGATGGTTGATATAAATGTATATACGAGGGGTGTTCAAAAAGTATTGGACCTTTATTTTTCCCGCGTAAACCAATGATACACGGGAGGTCTCTTTCAGTGGAATTGTGGAGGGGACAGTCATTTCCTGCTTGCAGGAAGCGTCAGTCGCTGGCAGTCGGCCTATGAGTGAGGACATGTAGCGAGCTCTCGTCAGATTCCACTAAGTTGAAAAATGACTGAACAACATGAGCAGCGATATTGTATCAAATTTTGCCAAAAACTTGGCGATATCCAAGTGGAAACCATTCGCAAGATTCAGCAGGCTCTCGGGGACGATCCTCGAGGCCAAAAAAAGAGCGGCAGGTCTGCAGCAATGTCAAGGTCATGTTGACAGTTTTTTTTTTACTCCCGTGGGATGGTGTATCCTGAGTACACATCACAAGGCCAAACCATCGCAAAGGAGTACTACCAGAAGGTCCTTCATCGTCTTTGTGATGCTGTGCGACACAAACGACCGGATCTGTGGTCAACCAAAACTTGGCAGCTCCATCATGATAATGCACCCGCCCATTCTGTGCATCTGATTTGGACTTTCTACTCCAAACACAACATTCCTGTGGTTCGTCACGCTCTGTACTCTCCCAACATGGCTCCATGTTACTTTTGGCTATTTCCCAAGCTGAAAATGCCGCTAAAAGGAACCCGATTTTAGTCAAGAGAAGACATCATGCGGAATGCGCTGGACCGGCTGATGGCCATTCCAAAAGATGCGTTCCAGCAGTGTTTCCAGCAATGGCAGGAGCACTGGGAGAAGTGTATACATTACCAAGGACTCAAAATCAATAAATGTATTTTTGCCGACCAAAGGTCCGATACTTTTTGAACATCCCTCGTATGATATATAGATAACATTCGAAATATTAAGATGGGTTATGCAATACTAGCATACCTTTTTTCTTATAAACCATTCTATCTAAAATTTTATCTATTGACAACAGAGGAATTGTTTAGAAATGACAAAAGTAATCGTGTTAAAATGTTTATTTGATCTTATAATTTTTATTTATCATGAAATTATTCCAATTTAAATATAAACTTACTTTAATTTAATTAAATTAATTTATTTAAGCATACTGGTTTCACCCATGATGTGGGGAATACAAACATACAAATAATAATCACAAAAAACAGTAAAAACCACAATAATACTATAATTAATGAATTATTACAGAAAAAAAAACAGAATATACACGTAAATATAATACAAATTTTACAAAACTGACAATAAGTAATAATATTTTAAACAAAATAACAACATAATCAAAATTGTAGGGAGAACTATCCAAAAAATAAGAAACAAATTGTATAAAAAATAACTATGCCCACCTAAAAACAGAAGAAAAATTAATTATCATGTTGAAACAGCAGATAGTCTCCCAATATTTCTTAGGCTTAAACACACATTTAAAGGAAAAAAATAATGGCACCTCTGTGCAAAATCAAATGATCCAAAATGCAAAACAAATCAAAATATGTGCCAATCTACTCAAATGACAACTGAAACTAAATAAATCAACATAAAATTATCTAAAAAATAGTGTTAATTTTCTTTATCCAGAAGGTTAATCAAAATTATGTAAATTACTAATAAGGTCCAAAAATTTTTCAAATGAAATAGTAGAAATGCCAAGAATACTTTCAAGTAGTTTAGAAAAATTAACACACCTAGCTATCATGTGATACGCATCCAAAGACCGATCACCTTGACAATGTATGCAAATATCTCTGCAATAATTCTGCAAAAAATTAAGAGAATTACATCTAACTTGCATTATCGTAGAGATAATATTATAAGAAAGGTTATTATTATAAACAAAACAATCAAAAAACGATCTATTTAGATGCTTATACCAGGTATTATAAGAACTCAAATTAATATGCCAATTCAAGTCTGAAATAAATTATCAAAATAATTTAGTTTTAGTAAACAGCAATAGTTATAATTATTTAATAATTCATCAAAATTAATATCATTATTAACACAGTTCTTCCTTAAACTTTTGGTCCACAAAAAATCATTTTTATTTAAAATATAACATAAACACATTCTACTCCCAACGTTTTTCATCCAATTCCAATATAAACTTACTTAGTATTAATCATTAAATTAGCACATTTATAGTTCTATTATTTAAGGCAATTGTTTGGTTATGTATCTATATATATATAGGGCTTTGGGATGTTTGATATACATATATTTAAATATAAACATATTGAAGAATATCTGGATCCAAATAATTCTTTAAACTTCATTCAGTTTTGCAGAAATTTCACTTTTGACATTTTCGCTGGGGTTTGTCTCTTCTTTGGGAGTAATGAACAAATAGAGTGTCACCAACTAAAATAATTACAACAATTAACCAAAAAGACTTGAAATATTAATGACATTTAAATAATGTATGCTTATTCGTATTATATCTTAACAATTACATCAACTGAAATGATTAAAATTTTGCAGATAAAAATATGTCAGGCCATTTGTAATAGGCTAATATGCAAGTAACTTACTATGGTGATTATAAGGATAAAACAAAACACTCGAAAGTAAAAGATGTAAATATCCTTCAAGTGAGTTACAACTTTAATTTTTCCATTTGGACAAAAACATCTCAGATGACATCCATTGATCAAATATTCTGTGAGGGAGTCTTGGCATTTTTCCAGATCCAATTTAATCTCTCTCTCCAATACCAGTTGAAGCAGATGAAAACCTTTTATCATCACTTCCTTTGTTACGTTCAGATGTTCGTTCACTTTTCCCTGCCATTTTTCTGTGCTTCTGTGATCTTATTTGATAATTTTTTTTGTTTTTTTAGTTGACATAAGAGATTGTATTTACTCACATTCAAACTACACTTTTTATGAAAATTTGTCAATGCTTTCATTCCAAATTTGTATTCAACTTTTATATTAATGTAAGGATTCATGTTGAATTTAAAACAATGATTAAGACTGATAACATATATAACTTCTCTACAAGAAGGTTTGGGTGTGTTACCTTAAGTCAAATAATTTAAGCAAATAATATTTTTTATAGGATAAATATTTGTATTAAAAGAGGTATTGTTTTTACTTTATAGAGATGTTATACAGAATATGAAAAATGATACAATTCTATTTGTATTTGGTGATCATGGAATGACAAGAACGGGTGATCATGGAGGTGACAGTGAAGACGAAATTTATTCGGCCCTGTTCATTTATAATCCAGCATTAAATAATAAAAATATTTTTAATGTGAGTGAATTATATTAATTATTTTACATTAGTAAGTGATTGAATTGAAAAACATGAAAAGCATATTAGTATGTCACATTCTTAAGCAATCTTTTTGTTTTTTCAATTCAGTTAATAAACAATTCAATACTTACTTTTAAAGTATATTTAGAAATATAATATGGCAGTCTTAGCTTATAAGTATTTCTCATGTTTTAGTGAGAAATCTATCTAAAATAATAATTATTGAATCCTCTGTCAATTTTTTTTTTTTTTTTTAATTTAAAA